GGTCGACCTAAATATTTTATCGTGATTCCATTTGGAATCTGAACAATAAACTAATTACAGCGAAATACGTCTCTTCGTTTTATTTTGTTACATTATTACGTCCACTATTTCATATTATGCTCATTTTTGGTAAAAAAAATAAAAATTGTTTTCAGAGTTAATTTGATTATTAACTTTTCAAATTAAATTAAGCTCATTTTTTGACCCAAAAAATTAAAAAAAAAAGTTTTGAATTAGATTTTGTTTCAGGCTTATTAATTTTTCAAATCTAATTAAGCTCATGCATTTGTTATAATATTTTTTTACTTTAACCTCAATTGACATAATTTTTGTTTTAATTTCAAAATAATAAGTTAATTTGTATCTTTACTAAATTATCATCTTATTCATATATATTTTTAACTAAAAATGAGTCAATGAAGGTCGACCTAAATATTTTATCGTGATTCCATTCTGAACAATAAACCAATTACAGCGAAATTGGGCGTAACGTAAATTGGCCCTAATTATAATTCCGGATTAAGTAACGTATTTCATAAATAATTGGGACTTATTCTTTGCTGAAAAAAGTGGAAAAACGTTTGATCTTTTTCAATTTTATATATGAAATTTCGTGTAGGTTTGTAATCTAATGATTCGATAAGATTACTATTGAAAAACATAATTAATTTTGTTGTTACACCTACGAATTGCGTTTTTTTTATTTTGTCAGTTTCATAAGCGGATTCAAATTGGAATTATGCAGATGCTTGTTGCCAGAAGCATTTAAATGTACAGCAAAATGCACGAAGTGGTGACTTTTATGGATTCGAGCCGGTCATAAATCTTTCAGCAGAGCCGCATTAAGGCTGCGCCCCAGTTGTGCAACTGCTAATCCAATCCCTAGAAAACTTTTTATTATCCCTTCGTGCATTTATCTCGCATCAGTTTGGGAGAGCCGCGTCTAATACGTTAAAGATATTAAGATGTAAACTTCATTTCTTTAAGGTCTCGATCCTAGGTTTAATAAGAGTGGAATGTGTACGATACCCACCACGATGATCGTCTGGATTCCGTATGTTCCTCGGCAGAGGCGTGTAGGAATGCAGCGGGCGTTGGACGACAACATCATGGTTTTCCTCCTCCTTGGGTCGGACGATCTTCATGAACTGCCCGCGGCGATTCGCCTCCGCCCTTTCCGAATCCGTCACCCTCGTAGAATCCAGATACTTGAGACTCGGCGCATGATGCAACACGTAATACCTTCGCAAATAATCCATCATCATCATAAGAAAATCCAACTTCTTAAACGCACCTGTAGCGTTGGTAATCTTCCTCGTCGTTGTCCAAATCCGAGAGCTCGTTAGGGCATGCCTTGTTCCCCAGCAAACTGAGAAATGTGAGCGCCGGCAGATTGTGTGAGATTTTGGACATCAGCAATTCGATGTCGTTTATCTGCCTCGGGAAATATAAAATATAGATTACGCACAAAAGGGAAAATGCGAATTAAAGCCGATTGTAAATCATTTTCGGCCGAATATATCATGTACACATGCATGACACCACCAGTTTTTTCCTTTCTATAATAAAAAATGTGCGCACAAAAATGATTGCGAGGCGTTTGTTTTTTTTTATCACGTCCTCCCATTCACTCAATTATTAATTACCGAAAATTTTGTCGGACTCATCGAGCGTGCAATTTCCGGGAATCGATTCGAATTCGCGGAATGGGATGTAATTGAATTTAGTTTAAACTGTCTGTCAATGAGATCCAAATTGATCGAAACTAGATGGAACGTATTTATTGTCCTGTTATAGTCCTTTTTTTTCATTGCAATGACATCTGCCTCGTCGCAGGACAATCACTTCAGTTACAGTCCATTGAAAGCAATTTATGTTTGGGTATTCTCAAATCCATTAACACAAAGTTTACCTAAAGTTCAGTTTAACAAAATTTGATGTACATTGGGATTGCAGTATGCAATTATTCCAAACATTATATATACAAAAAAAATGATAAATTTGTATACGTTATTTGAACTGTTCAAATAAACATTGAACTTTTACACAACCATGAAATTAGAGTCAAGATAAATATAGAAAGAAATGATATAAATATACTTGTTTAGTTGTGTTTATCTATGTCATTGAATTTAATTTAAACTGTCCGTCAATGAGATCCAAATTGATCGAAACTAGATGGAACGTATTTATTATCCTGTTATAGTCCTTTTTTTTTCATTGCAATGACATCTGCCTCGTCGCAGGACAATCACTTCAGTTACAGTCCATTGAAAGCAATTTGTGTTTGGGTATTCTCAAATCCATTAACACAAAGTTTACCTAAAGTTCAGTTTAACAAAGTACATTGGGATTACAGTATGCAATTATTCCAAACATTATATATAAAAAAATGATAAATTTGTATACGTTATTTGAAGTGTTCAAATAAACATTGAACTTTTACTCAACCATGAAATTAGAGTCAAGCTAAACATAGAAAGAACTGATATAAATATACTTGTTTAGTTGTGTTTATCTATGTCATTGAATTTAAACTGTCCGTCAATGAGATCCAAATTGATGGAAACTGGATGGAACGTATTTATTGTCCTGTTATAGTCCTTTTTTTTTCATTGCAATGACATCTGCCTCGTCGCAGGACAATCACTTCAGTTACAGCCATTGAAAGCAATTTGTGTTTGGGTATTCTCAAATCCATTAACACAAAGTTTACCTAAAGTTCAGTTTAACAAAGTTTGATGTACATTGGGATTACAGTATGCAATTATTCAAAACATTATATATACAAAAAAAAATGATAAATTTGTATACGTTATTTGAACTGTTCAAATAAACATTGAACTTTTACTCAACCATGAAATTAGAGTCAAGATAATATTCTGAAAATATTAAAAAGATGTTATGAAATTTATATTTTTCTTATAAAACCTGATAGAAATGTATGAAAAAGTGATGTAAAACTGGAAAAGAGCTTTAAAAATATGAGTGTAGTAAAAGGTGAAAAAAAGTTGTGTAAATGGAAAGAAATTCTCGTAAAATATACTTGTTTAGTTGTGTTTATCTATGTCAATTTATTCTGAAAATATTAAAAAGATGTTATGAAATTTATATTTTTCTTATAAATCCTAATAGAAATGTATGAAATAGTGATGTAAAACTGGAAAAGAGCTTTAAAAATATGAGTGTAGTAAAAAGTGAAAAAAAGTTGTGTAAATGGAAAGAAATTCTCGTAAAGTATACTTGTTTAGTTGTGTTTATCTATGTCAATTTATTCTGAAAATATTAAAAAAATGTTATGAAATTTATATTTTTCTTA